CAAGAAGACTACTGCTGAAGCAGCAGAAGCAGCAAAAAACCAGAAGAGTAGCAGTGAGAGAGAGTGAGTGAGGGAACACAGAGTAGCACAGTGAAGAGGCAATGAGAGGGAATGAGCTTGGGGATATGAGAGTGGGAACTGCTGGGAAGGCTAGAATCGCTGGCACTGCTGCTGCTGAACCAGCAAGAGCACAAGCCCTCTACTGCTGTACAAGAGCTGCTGCTGCTTTCCTACTCTACTCTCTCACCCGCTTCTACACTGTTTCTCTGCGATTCTCTTCTTTTTCCTCGGTGGTGGTATATACCAACCGCCGATGCGATCAGACCCGAGAGAGAAAGAGAATGGGAAAGAGAATGAGCTGTGAGAGAAAATGAGAGTGGGTGAGAAAAGAGAGAGAGAGAGAGAGAGCAAGTCTGGCTGACTGACTGAGTGACTGACTGACTGACTGCTGGCTGCTACAGCAGGCGCTGCCGCCGCCGCCGCCGTCGCCGAAGCTGCTGAAGCTGCTGCTTTTTGCTGCAGAATAAAGAAAGAAGACAACTGGCTCGTTTGGGCTTCTGCTGCTGCCGCCGCCGCTGCCGTTGCCGCCGCCGATGCTGTCGTGAGCACTGACCGACGAGAGTCGGAAGACCGACTGAAGACTGAGGTTAAGGCTGAGGCTAAGAACGAACGACGACGACGGCAGCTGAGAAGAAGAAGTGAAGGAAGTGAAGCAGTAGCAGCAGCAGCAGAAGTGAAGTACCCAAAGGGGATCAAGAGATGATGATGATGAAGTGATGAAGTGCTCTTCTGCAGGATGTTCTTGTACGCCCACTTGAACGCTGCTGCTGCCACTGCCGCCACTGCTGCTGAACATCGTCTGGACTTGTGCTAGTGAAGTGTGCGTGTGCTGTCGTAGTGTGTCGTAGACTGTTGTGAAACAGTGTCTGACTTTGTGGTGATCTCCACTAAGTTCCACTATTTCTTCATGATCACCACCACCACTACCTAAGTGCCATCATCGCCTTCAGTTCGGTGTAGTCCTAGTCCTCTTCAGTGAATCCTCTGCTTTGGTGCAAACTACCTACAACTACCTAAAAGGATTCACCGGACTCCGATCACCACCGTTGTCACCACTAAAAATAAAGTCACCACCACTACCTAAAGTCATGTTAATCATCCTGTGATCAGCCACAACTTCACTTCAGCAGGATGACCACTCTTCTCTTCTCAAACCTTGGATTCAATAAAGCCAAAGTTTTCACCCCACTGATCTGATTTACCCAAAAACGAAACACCCACAGAATGGAAAATCTACTCTGACTACACCGAAGCGCCAACTCAAAAGTCCCATCTTCCCCTATCACGCTTAAAAGTCCCGATTAACCAGGAGGAAAGAAGTTCACACAATCAACGTTTTTCAGCTTTTTGCTCAGCATCCCTATCACTTTCTCCTTCTCTTTCACTTCCATGGCCAAGGTTCAACCTCGACTGATGACCACCACCTCCTCTTTCTTTGATGATCTCCTCATCTTATCAACTTATTCACAAATTGATCTCATGTTCAAGGACCGCTTACAGCCACCACTCGCAATGATGCCCTTAGCAGCGAAATGTAAAGTACAAAAAGCAAAAAAGGTCCAACAAAAACAACAAAAACAGCACCTTCGACTAAAGCAATTACCACAACAGCTTCAAATACCATCTTCCAGCAAATGTATCTTCCTCTGCAGCAGCTGCCTCTGGAGACAAAGTAGGCTTTAGAATTTAAAAAAGAAGGACTACTTCACTTCACGCACACATGGTTCTCCTCTTCTTTAAATCACCTCCTCTTTGTCTTTCTGGTCCCAGCACTCGCCAGCATCATCACTAAAACAATTCTAATTCTGTCAACACTATTTGAAAATTGTTTTCTCAGAGTCGAACGAGATCCCAATTGTTCATCCTCCCTTCCTGTGCCAATCCTTCACAACATCATTACCAGCTTTGACCACAAGTTTGCTCGATTCTGAATCGAGCAAGTTGGTAAACTTCCCCTTCACCGATTTTGTGTTTTCGCCCTTTCTCCTCTTCCTCCTCTTCTCATCACGCCTCTGCAGCAAACAATCAAATCAAATCAAAACAAATCACAGCAAACTTTTTTTCGTTCTCACTCTCTCGGAAATTATCGGTGCCAGCACGGTTCTCTCTTCCTCACCTTCACTTTACCACTGCAGCACTTCTTCGCCTGACGGAGGAAAAAAGCTTGGCTTCAGTGAAGCCATCACCCCTAAACTACTTTAGCACCTTCATCACCACCACCTCCACCACCTCAGAATGTCCTCCAATGCGTCCTCCTCCATTGGAGGCAGCAGCGGAGGCGGCGGAGGAGGAGGTGGTAGCGGCGGTGACACGCCTACCAGCACCAGGTCCTCCTCCTCGATGACGCAACCCTCTCCTTCGGGGCAGCAATATCAACCCAACCAGCCACCGCCTCCACTGCCACCACATGCCACCGCCTCCAACTTTGGCTCCGGGAGCGGCGGCTTTGCCGATTTTAGCTCCTACTCACAGCAGCACCAGTCACCCTCGGCGAACTCCTTCGGCGGAAGTGGCCCCACTGCGGGAACGGGCATCGCCCGGGTCGCCTCGTCCACTGTGGAGAACCCCAGTCCGACGGCGGACTCGGCACCGGACACGTATGACCGCTTTGGCCACGGGCACTACTTCAGCAAGAAGACATTCCACAAGCCCACCTACTGTCACCACTGTACGGACATGCTCTGGGGCATCATCGGTCAGGGCTTCATCTGTGAAGGTTAGTGTGTGTCCTTGTTCGGGGAGGTGTGCTTCGAAACACTGTCAGTTTCGAAAAATTGTTCTTTGTGAAACACCGTCTGTGAACGGCTGATCAGTGTGTTGTGTTTTTGTTGTTGATCTTCTTCATCTCAGCTCACTGAAAACTTCTCATTTCTGAGGTTTCTAATCATCATTCTTGTTTCTTTTTTGTGTTATCTCCCTTTTCTCTCACAGTGTGCAACTTTGTCGTGCATGAACGTTGTCTTAAAACGGTTGTGTCCCCCTGTTCAACAGTTGCATCTAATGTGATTAAAGTAAGTCTCAGACCCAAAGCTCTCCATCATAAGAACAACACCAAATGAATCGATATTGACTCGACTCTCTTCCACTTCCATTCCCTATCTCCCCTATCACCACTCTAGAACCCCGTTCCGCACTGCTGGTCGACGTACGGCCACTTGAAGCGGAAGTTCTGCAACGTCTGTCGAAAGCGGATCACCGAGGACCAGGCGGCGGTACGCTGCGAGGTCTGCGAGTACTGCGTCCACACCGAGTGCTCCGACTTTTCGGTTCCCGATTGCAAGGAGTGCGCAACCTATGTTCCCGAACAAGAGCTCGTAAGTCACCATTCTAGACTTCCCCAAACCCGTAACCTTTGTTTAAACCCTCAGAAAGAGGTGGTGCAGACGCACCACTGGCGCGAGGGCAACCTGCCTGCTAATTCCAAGTGTCATTACTGTCGGAAGGCCTGCTGGAGTGCANAGCTCGTAAGTCACCATTCTAGACTTCCCCAAACCCGTAACCTTTGTTTAAACCCACAGAAAGAGGTGGTGCAGACGCACCACTGGCGCGAGGGCAACCTGCCTGCCAATTCCAAGTGTCATTACTGTCGGAAGGCCTGCTGGAGTGCGGAGTGCCTCGCCGGCATGCGCTGCGAGTGGTGCGTCATGACGGTAAGTAACTCATTCAAAAAACCTCCAAAATTCTCATTATATCTTTCTCCTCCTGTTCAGGCACACGCCGCCTGCTACCGCAACCTCCCGCCGGACTGCAACTTTGGCTGGCTGCAGTCCATCATGCTGCCGCCCTTCTGCGTGAGCATACCGCGCACTGACGTTCCCCTCGAGACGATCATCGGCGTGCAGAACAAGAAGAAGGGCGAGGCGAATGCTCGTAAGTGACTTCGGGGCTTTCCGTCTTTTTATTTCTTTTTCTTTTCATTTCTTTCATCACCTATTTTTGTTTTGATTTGTTTGGCCACCACTTCTTATTACTAATAGCGGAGAAAGCCGATAATCAGTCTGAGGGTCGAAATAAGGACGCCGACGAGTTTCCCTCGCCGAAGGACAAGGACAAGGATGAAGGTTAGTGCCTTTAATATTAGCGGTGGTGGTAGTGGTGGTCTTTTCCAGCGATCAGTGTTTACTACAACTTTTCCCCCCGCTCCTATCCCTCTATCCGCTAATCGCTTCAAAATACTCGACTCAACTTTTCATCCGCTTTCACCCAAACAACGACAACAACACCGCTTTGAAAAAACACAAACAAAAACAAAACCCAAACTTTTCGCCGAAAACACCGAACCCCCTCTCTAAATCCTCTCTAAAATTGCACCGCACTACCCAGAAATAATCAAAGTCTTCGACGGGAACGCCTCGATGAAGCGGAAGACCTTTCGCAGCATCACCATCAGCCGAAACGCCACCAAGGACCAGATTGTGGCCGCCTGTCTGCGCGCCTTTCACATTCACGATGATCCGCGCGATTACATCATCACCGATGCTTATGGTAAGTGCAGGCAACGGCGGTGGCGGTGACGACTGCCGCCGCCTGCTAATCGGCTTTGCAGCACTCGGGCAGCAGAGGCAGCAAAGCTCGGGCAAAGCTCGGCCGATTCCGCCTAGCCTTCCTATTTTTCTTCCTTCAACCCAATGATCGATCATTAACCCCAAATTATTCTCCGTAATTCCTCATCCTGGCCCTAATTCTCTCCAATTCTCTGCACAACCAACAACCAACCAACCAAAACCAAAACAACACATCAAAATTAAATCACTCACACACACTCACCAAATCTCATCAACTCTCGGCGGACATTCATCACCATCATTCACCTCGGTCGACCGACCGATCACTTGCCGTACACTGTACACTCTGTACACTGTACAGCCACCCCCGAGAAGGAGATCTCCGAGTTCATGCCCGTGCAGAGTCTGATTCGGATGGAGGGCAAGCGGTGTGGGCTCTTCTTCCGCCATCGGCCACCGAACCCCAACCAGGGCACCATACGCGTCTACCCGGGAAGGCTCAAGTAAGCTCCAGTGAAAAACTCGGTGGATTTGCATTCCCAATCAGATCACCTAATTCTTTTGTTTTCTTCACTTTCACTTCCTCCTCCTCTTCCTCGAACTCAGTGTGACGGACACCTACCGCGTGATACAGATCACCCTGGACACCACCGTGGAGGAGGTGATGGTCGCCGCGTTGGACCAGTTTGGCCTCGACTCGGTGGAAATCAACCGCTACCGCCTAGTGGAGGTTTCGCAGGAGAAGGGCTGTAAGTACAGTACAGTACATTTCAGTGGAAAGGGAGGCTTTAAATTTGTCGATTTTTTGCGGTGGTGGTGGTGGTGGTGGTGGAAAGTCCATGCTAACAAACCGCAGCCGCGGTCGCAGCACTGAATTCCGTTTATTTGCTAATTTGCATAATTTCCTTTCTCTTTCCTTTTCCTCTGTCCTATATTTGCTCACTCTCGCCTCTTTCTGCTCGGGGCCGCAGCTGTTCACGAACGCACCATGGATAACAACGAGAGTCCTTGGGCGATTTTGAAGGGATTGGCGAGGGTGAGTCTGTCTGTCTGTTTTTTGTGTAAAGAGAGGGAGAGACATGAGATGGTTCGGTGTGTGTACAGAGCGAGACCGTGCATGCAAATTCTCTCTCTCTCTGTCTCTGTCTCGGTCTTTTCCTCTATCGATTAGCCCCTCGCAAGAGGATAACATAGAACTGCTGCTTTGATTTCTATCCTTCTTCTTTGTTATTCAAACCCACACACACCGTCCTAAACCCTTTTCTCTCATTCCTTTCAATCCATCTTTTCTCGTTAATAACAACCCACTTCAACAACCCACACAACACACTCTTCAGGAGTCGATTCGGCAGAAGGAGAACACCCGCTTCTACCTGCAGCAGGTGGACGAGGTGTACTGCTCGAAGATTGCCATCTTTGTGGGCAACCTGCCGGCAAACCTTTCACAGAGGCACTACGAGAAGATACTGGTCGACCTGCTAGGAAAGCGTAAGTTTTGAGGGGATTTTATCTAAAAGCTTCCAAACTAACTTTCCACAAATCTTCCTCTGGCAGCGTACAAGTACCGCGAAATTGGCCCTATCTACTACGAGTACGGCTCGCTGATCATCGCCTACGACAATGCGGACATTGCCGTGAAGGCCTACTACATGCTCCGGGAGTCGCAGCACCAGGAGAAGGACCTGCTGGTGCTCCTCCTACCCAACGTCATGCCCGAGCTAATAACTAAGGGCGTCCGGGTAGGAAAAACTCATATTTAAACTTTTTTTTCAAAATCCTAACCTTGAATCTTTACAGCCTTTGCTGGTCTTTGTGAACGTCAAGAGCGGCGGCTGCCAGGGCCTGGAGCTCATCTCCTCATTCCGAAAGCTGCTCAACCCTTACCAGGTCTACGACCTGGAGAACGGCGGACCACTGCCTGGGTACTCTACACTTTTTATCAACTACACTTTATCAGCCCGTTTCTAACCCCACTATATCAATCCCAATTTATCAACTCCCTCATTCAGACTGTACGTCTTTCGGAAGATNTGGTCTTTGTGAACGTCAAGAGCGGCGGCTGCCAGGGCCTGGAGCTCATCTCCTCATTCCGAAAGCTGCTCAACCCTTACCAGGTCTACGACCTGGAGAACGGCGGACCACTGCCTGGGTACTTTACACTTCTTATCAACTACGCCTTATCAGCCCTTTTCTAACCCCATTTTATTACCCCTCCCCTCATTCAGACTGTACGTCTTTCGGAAGATCAAGGACTACAAGATACTGGTGTGCGGCGGCGATGGCACCGTCGGCTGGGTGCTCCAGTGCCTCGACAATGTCGGCCAGGAGTCAGAGTGCGACACGCCCCCTTGCGGCATTGTCCCCCTCGGCACGGGCAACGACCTGGCGCGGGTGCTCCGCTGGGGCCCCGGCTACACCGGCCAGGAGGACCCGGTGGGCGTGCTGAAGGACGTCATTGAGGCGGAGGAGATTCGGCTCGACCGGTGGACGGTCATCTTTCGGTCGGATGAGCCGAACCGGCCGCCGCCGATTGACCTGCTGGAGCGGAATCAAATTCAGGTGCAAAGTAAGGGCGAGGGTAGCGAGGACTGCATTCTGGTGATGAACAACTACTTTGGCATGGGCATCGACGCAGACCTCTGTCTGGGCTTTCACAATGCCCGTGAGGAGAACCCGGAGC